TAAGATGAATGCCATAATGTATGTAAGCTTTTGAAAGCGTAATTTGTTTCAGTGCCTCCACCTCAATTTTATTTCAGTATTTCTAAATGAACTAATAGCATTCCAGGTTCAGCTGCAATTGAAAATTTTCTCCACTAACAATCATACCTTTGCAGTGACCTGTGTCCTAAATTATTTTCAGTTCACAAAACAGACCTTACATTCTGTAATTTGATTCAGAAAAGATATAAAGACATATTATAGACTTATTCCTAAAACTACCTTGCCCCAATGTTATCCTAGTAAACAATAACACGTCACTTCACTATTGTTAAAAAAGTAACTCCAATACACCAGGGAATAACATAGAAAAGCATTTTTCTTAATTTGAGAAGACAAGAAAACAAAAGGTCTAAACATCGGATTACACTTGATTAAACAGAAAGGTTTGGATTTGAACTGTTTTGCACTTAAATCCTAAACAAGGCAATAAACCTTAAAACTATGAACTTTTAAGAAAGTCCCATTCAATGAAATGAGATAACCCTCAAGCAAACATACTTATGACTGAGATGTAAACTGGTTTAAATGTCACTACTTTAGCTTAATCAAATTGTGTGAAATGGCTCAAATCATCCATCATGCTAGAGCTACAAAACCAACTAGAATTATCTATCTAGTCAGCCTAGCACATTACAACCAGTTCTGAAATATATACGTTCCAAGCATATAAGCAAAGTTTGTACATTCCTTATTTACTTCAAAGGAAGTGTCATTTCAAATTGACACAAAATTTAAATTATAAATAAGTCTGCTTAATATTGAGCATATTATCAGAATAATAAAATAGTAGCTATTCTTCACTGTGGTCAGAAGTATGCATTTGTGCAGACTGCTGCCTTAGTTATGCCCCTGCTTTTGCTGCCACAAACATCCACAGGTAATGCCAGAGTTGCTGTCACCTTCATTGGCTAAAACCGTATCTTACCAACAAATCTGAAATATGCCCCACTGAAATCTATAGGAATTACTTCCAGTACATCTGAGATACATTCCCACATAATTAAATCCCACTGACATCAGTAATATCTTTAAGCAAATCAGAAGCAAAACACTTCTGAGATTCCTGCATTCACAGGATTTCTGAACTATATATTGACAGACTGTTTGTGCAACACATGGTTATTTACCATATTACCTATGGGGGAAAGTGAACATATCCTGCACCAGAACCTGCACTCCAGGACACTAATTTAATCCTTTTTTAAGAGAAGTATTTAAGGGCAAAACCATAATTACCACTGTTCTTCATAAATGACTTCCACTAAAATTAATGAGCTTTATTTCAAAGTAAATACATTAAGGAAAGCAGTCTACACTGAGGCAGTCCCACAGGTAGTCTATAAATAAAGGAAACAACTACTCCACAACCCAGTTAAATTACAGTACAGTACTTAAATCAATCTAGGAGAAAGGCAGAATATAACTCCAATAAATAAATGCAATGAATAAAATAAGCTTCCTCCAATAAACATTACAGTTCAATGAAGAAATAACACAGGTTATTAGTTTTATACATTATTATTTTTGGAGTGTTTTTGTAAATCTTATCTCATCTTTAAAAAAAACCCTCCTCCCTCACTCAAAGGGAATAGGATATCATCCCAATACTAGCAAATAATAATATTTTGCTCAATGCATTTTCTTTAGCGATTTTGCTGCAAGTGCCTCTAGTAAGGTGTGTCAGAAGGGATACAAGCAGAGTTTTCTTCTTTTGTATACAAAAATCCTCGATGGATAAAGCTTACTATTCCAAGATCTATACTGTTTCAATAAACTGCAACATTGTTTAAAATATTCATATTAGATACTAAATAAATATTCAACTGTTTTGTTTTGTGTGCTACAGTCTTATTCCAGTGTATCTATGTATGTTTAAATATATCTAATGTGAATCCCCATTTTCTGTCTTCCAAAATTTATGATTTTTTTCCTAGACTAAATTTTCAAAAGATCCATTGCAATTCTAAAATTATAACTTTGGCAACAACTTCGGGGTTACAGACTTCACTGTGTATAAGTATACTACCAAGACTGTACAACAACTATTTCCTATCATGGGTTTCATAACTCATAATCAAGTGAGTATAGGAATTGAATATTTACCTTTATAACAAGGATTCATATATTATTTAACCTTATGAACAAAACTATTTTATACTAACACATTGTAATTTTATTAGATTCTATACATTCTTCACAGGTTTGAGTTATCCAACAGAGAACAAAAGAAGAAGCAAAATACTTTTCATGCAATATCTGAACCATTTCTCACAATCCTTGGAACATTTATCCAACCATTGTTCCCACATTGCTACAACTTATATGGCTAACTGAAATAAGTAGAGAAACAGAATTTATTTCCTTCAAAGAATTTTGGATCCAGAAAGGAAAAAGGACAAAGATGTGTCATGAATTACTTTTACAACCTAACCCGAAACTCCTGCACGAGGAAATGGCCAACTCTTCTAAGTAAGTGAGGGGGGAATGGCACCTTTGGCTGACATCCTATTAACACTTCCACATTGTGGGACTTGCTTCAGGATTGCAATGTTAGATTACCTTTTTGGCAATTTTTGCAAAGAACAAAGATGTCTGGAACTAAAATATCTCCTTCCTCTCATCAACTGGTTATGTCATTTTACTATTTCCTAGAAAGGCTCTACTGTGCTTTCTCTTCTTCAGTTCAGCAAATGCACAGCAAGTGGTGGATAGCTATTCTAGGAACTTTCCCCTAAACCTCAATTACCTTCTTCCTCACTAAGTGTCACTATCTGTAACACTATTCCAACCTGTGAGACTTCCTGTCAAACCTGATGCCACAAGCCCATTGTTTCCTGTGGAAAAGGAGCCAATGAAAGTAGTGAACAGCTTCCTTCAAAGCAAAGCCTGCCATGCAGTGTTTAAGTCTAATTAAGTCTGATCAAATCATAGAATTGAAAGAGACCACAAGGCAAAGATTACTCAGAAACAGAACCTGCATTAATGAGCATGTTTAATTTCACCTGGGCATCTGATCTATCTTTCTTTATTTCTTTCATACCAAATGAATAGTTTTTGTTTCATTTTTTAATACCTGGGCAACCCCTCAAACACCTGAGCAAAGGGCAGCTAGAATTTTATTTTCCTTCTTCTCCATTCTCCACTCCATAAACAAAGCCTATCTTGCCTCAGAGCCATTTCCCCACTCTTTCTCAAAAGCTCTGGAAATTAAACTTTCACAACTTTCTTCTACTTGAATTTCAAGAGGTAAAATTCAAGAGAAGGCTCCCCATTAAAAAAAAACCTAGGAAGCACGCCTGGGGAGTTGCAGATAGGTCTGCTTCCATTATTTATTCATCTATTGTTTTAGGCTAACGTTCTCTATTGTTATGGTTCAAGGTTCACCGTCTCTGTCAAGGCAATCAAAAGGGCCTGTGAAGGAGGTGGGGAAAACGGGTGTCTGGAGACTAAACAATCAGCAGCAAACACATACACACCAAAGAGTACATAAATGCAGTGATCCAGAAGGGCATCCACACTATAGAAATAAGGCAGTTTAACACCATATTCATCAATATGCCTCAGTGTTATGGAAGAATGGGAGTTGTGGTTTTAAATTGTCCTTAGCCACCCCTGCCAAAGAGTGCTAGTGCCTCACCAAACTACAAACCCCAGGATTCCATAGCATTGAGCCAGTGCAATTCAGGTGGTGTCAAATTGCATTTATTCAGTGATTCCCAAACTTCCATCCTCCATGTGCTTTTGACTCCAACTCCCATAAGCCTCAGTTGCCTTGGCCAATGATCACAGGTTCTGGAACTAAAGTCCAAAACACCTGGAAGATCAAAGTTTGGGAAACAAGCTAGAAAGGATGGAAAACAAAACAACCTCCTCTTCCTCCAAGTACACATGCAGTTTATTGGGGGGGGGGGGGTCAACTGGAGGGCCAGAGGATGGCTGAATAGGCCCAAAGTTCAGTAATAGGTCCTCTCTTTCTCTTTCCAACCCTCCCTTTCCCCTTCCTCCTACTTCACAGAGCCTCGATGTGGAGAGGGTCCGACTGGATGCTCTCCAAAGGCAGGTCCATATGCAATTTGAGGGTGGGGGAGTCAACGGGAAAGCCAGAGCTGGTTGAATGCGGCCCAATGTCAGTGATGGGCCGTTTTCTTTCTCTTTCTCTCTCATCCACCCACTCACCCAGTCTCTCTCCTCTTCCCGCCCCCTTTCCCCTCCCTCTTACTCCAGAAGGCCCGACTGGATGCTCTCCAAAGGACACAGTCCAGAGAGAGAAAGAGCGCCCACGCCGGCTTCTCATCCTTGGCAGGAAAGTGTAGCACACAACAACAACAACAACAACAACAACAACAACAACAAGAGAAGCAGCACCCATCCCAAACGTCACCCCGAACTTTGTTCTGTTTGGAAATAAAAGTCACCCTGTCTACAGGCGGAGGGGCATGGAAAAGACACAAATCACTTCACCCTCAATGCATTTCCTGGGAAGAGAAGTGGGAGGGGGGTCCGAATCCAGAACGCGATGTCTTTGGGATGATCACACTCCTCCTCCCCCCGCCCCCTCCTGTCCCTTACAAAACCCAACGTGCCCAAGTTGCCTTCTCTCCAGGCTTTGCCTTGAAAACAAAAGCTCCGAGCCCGAGAGAGAGACACATGCCTATCTAAATTCATTCCCCTTTAAAGGGAATGGGGTAGCCCGAAGGAAAAGATGGGGAGGAGGGGGGGAGGTTGTCTGAGGAGAGCGTTTGCCACCTGCCAAGAGCAAGCCGTGACACATGTCACTGCGGCGTGGGGGGGGGGGGGACGGGCATCTCCCTCTCCTTTGCAAACTTTCTCGCCGTGGAGGGGGAAGGGATCGGAGCCGAAGCTCGGAGTTCAGGGGGTGGGAGGAGAGGGAGGGAGGGAGGGAGGGAGGAGGAAGGAGGGCTTCTGAGGAAAGAAGGGGGAATGGGGGGGGGACTTACCCCGGCGAGCGCGCGCTGTCTGGAGTCCCGAGGAGATGACAAGAAATGAGGGAGAGAGAGAGAGAGCAAGGGAGGCAGGCGGAGGGTTCTCCTTGGCGCGAGAAAAGTGTTTGGCTGCAAGAGGAGGAGGAGGAGGAGGAGGAGGAGGAGGAGGCAGAAAGAGTGGGAGGGGAAAACAACAAACGTCCCAAAGAGAGAAGGGGGGGGGAGAGAGAGAGCGGAGTGGGATGGCTCTTCCTCCTCCTGCCCCTTCGCGGCCTGGCGAGCAGCCGGCAAAAGGAGCCACCAAAGCAGGAGAGGCAGCTGCTCTGCGTTCTCGCCTCGGCTTCTCCTCTTCCTCCTCCTCCTCCTCCCTCTGGGCGTGTGGCTGCTTCTTGAATGGAGCCTGCAGCTGCCTGCCTCCCTCCCTCTCGGTCTCGTGTGTGTGAATTTACAATAAAGTGTGGCACGCGGTGGAGAGACACAAACACACACACACTCACACTTCAGGGGAACGGGCAAGTTGCCTCACTGCCTAGCAAGGAGGGGAGGATGGCGCCTCGCGCGCCCCCCTCCAAGTTGCGGGGCCGGGCCTCGAGCGCCCACTCCCTCCTCTGCTTCCCTTCCGGCGGGGAGGCGCGGACGGGGGCGGCTCAATTCGGAGTCGCGCCCGGCTCCTTGACGTCAGGTCCACCTGCTGGGGAAACAAACCCGGCGCGGAGTTGTTTCTCCTCCTCCTCCGCCTCCTCCCTCTCCCGCCCTGTTCCTCACAAACCACTTTGGCGAAGGGAGAACACAAAAGCCTCGTGTTGAAATCGTACCTCGGGCCCCGCCGGTTTCGAAACGGGGCTTTGTTTTCTCCTTCCTTACTTCCGCCAGGGTTAAGCCTTCTAGGAAAGGAGGAGGGGGAGGGGGGGAGGAAATGGAGTTTGGGCCGCGCTTTTCAGAGTTGGGCTCAAGAGCGCGCTCTTTGACCCACTGAGGGCCCTTCCACACAGCCATATAATCCAAAAATATCAAGGCAGAATAACCTGCAATGTCTGCTTTGAACTCTTAGGCACCTTCCGCACAGCTGAATAAAATACCCCATTTTCTACTTTGAACTGGGATGGAAGTGTGGACTCAGATATCCAAGTTCAAAACAGATATTGTGGGTTTTTCTGCCTTGATATTCTGGTGGCCCTTCCACACAGCCCTTACCCAAAATATCGAGGCAGAATATCCCACAATATCTGCTTTGAACTGGGTTAGCTGAGTCCACACTGCCATATATCCCAATTCAAAGCAGATAATGTGGGATATAGGGCTGTGTGGAAGGGCCAGTTCAATGTGGATTTTATACAGCTGTATGGAAGGGGCCTCGGTTTCTGCGCTCCTTGCCTTCCTCTGGCTCCTTTCACTTCACCCAGGGGCACATTTATACCGTCCAATGGATGCAGTTTGGGGGGCCTTCCACACAGCCCTATATCCCAGAATATCAAGGCAGAAAATCTCACATAATCTGAGTGCGGGCTCTGTTAACCAGTTCAAAGCAGATATCGTGGGATTTTCTGCCTTGATATTCTGGGATATAGGGCTGTGGGGAAGGGCCCCAAGACTGCTTGAACTGCCTTGCTTCAGTGCTATGAAGCCTAGCTTTGTGGTTTAGCGCACTCTTTGGCAGAGAAGACTTGGGGCCCTTCCACACAGCCGTTGTTGTTCATTCGTTCAGTTGTTTCGGACTTCTTCGTGACCTCATGGGCCAGCCCACGCCATAGCTCCCTGTCGGCCGTCGCCACCCCCAGCTCCTTCAAGGTCAAGCCAGTCACTTCAAGGATGCCATCCATCCATCTTGCCCTTGGTTGGCCCCTCTTCCTTTTTCCTTCCACTTTCCCCAGCATAATTGTCTTCTCTAAGCTTTCCTGTCTCCTCATGAAGTGGCCAAAGTACTTAAACTTTGTCTCTAATATCCTTCCCTCCAATGATCAATCGGGCTTTATTTCCTGGAGGATGGACTGGCTCGATCTTCTGGCGGTCCAAGGCACTCTCAGAACTTTCCTCCAGCACCACAGTTCAAAAGCATCTATCTTCCTTCGCTCAGCCTTCCCTATAACCCAGCCATATAATCCAGAATATCAAGGCAGAAAAACCCCACAATGTCTGCTTTGAACTGGGTTGTCTGAGTCCACACTGCCATATCTTCCTGTTTAAAGCAGATAATGTGGGGGGGGGGGGTTTCAGCTGTGTGGTAGGGGCCCCAGTTCCATAGCAATGAGCCGCGACAGTTTCAAGGGGTGCCAAACAGCATTCATTCTGCCTTGTAGACGCGACCATTCTCCAACTCGAGCACCCCACTTTGGGCTTCTATCCCGGCCATCTTTTGGGGAGGTAGACCCAAAGCAGCGAGCAAAGATGGGGTGGGAGAGTTCACACGTGGTGAAAAGGAAACACGAGTCCACTTGGAAAGAAAAGCCTTGAGCGGGCAGGCGGGGCTGCTGCTGAATTCCCCCCTCCCTCAGGGCTGGGAATGACGCCTTGAGCCGAACAGGCGAAGAAGTTGGTCCCACCCTTGCGGGAGGGGGAGGGGGCTTCTATCTGCCCCCTTCCACACAGCCGAATAAAATCTCACATGATCTGCTTTGAGATGGGGTATATGGCAGTGTGGGCTCAGATAACCCAGTTCAAAGCAGATATTGTGGGATTTTCTGCCTTGGTATTCTGGGTTATATGACTGTGTGGAAGGGCACTCAGTTCTATACCACCTATAGTGGTTGTTCTGTGTCTTTTGTGCGGTTGCCATTATCAGGCGTTTTCTGGGCCAGATTTGAGAGGCTCCTTTGCCTTCTTCTGAAGCTGAGAGAGAGTGACTTGCTCCAGGTGACATTCTCAAGTGGGGATGCCAACCCTGCTCTCAGGGCCCTTCCACACATCCATATAACCCAGAATATCAAGACAGAACATCCCACAATATCTGCTTTGAATTGGACTCAGACCACACTCAGATAATGTGGGATGATGTGCCTTGATATTCTGGAATACAGAGCCAGTGTGGAAGGGCTCTGGGATATCTGAGTCCACACTACCCTATATTCCAGTTCAAAGCAGATAATGTGGGGTTATATTCAAATGTGTGGAAAGGGCTTCAGACACAAAACATCTCTATATTTTGACTGATGGAAAAGCCCTTGGGTTTCCTCAGGACAGTCCATTCATCCTTGCCTGTTTTGTGATGAGATGATGAGAGGGTTCCCCTTCCACACAGCTGTATAAAATCCATCTTGAACTGGATTATATGACAGTGTGGACACAGATAATCCAGTTCAAATCAGATATTGTGCATGCTCTGCCGTGATCAACTTGGTGGACTTGGCAGCTGTCTTTTTCTCTCTCCTTGAGTTTCAGGCGGGAAAAAAAGAGCGTCCGATTCGAAACCGCTTTTGCCACAGCGACTTGGTTGGACTCTCTCTATTCGTAATATAATAGGGAGGGAGAGACGGGGAAAGGGTATTTTCTTCGCTTGAAGGGATCTCATGATTTGATCCAGAACCAACACAATCTTGAGGGACATCTGAAACTACTTTTGCAAAACATACTGTAAGGAGGAAGAACCTATGGAGCTAGCCTGGGCAAACTTGGACTGTCCAGGTGTTTTGGACTTCAACTCCCACAATTCCTAACAGCCTCAGGTCCCTTCCTTTTCCCTCAGGAAGGGGCCTGAGGCTGTTAGGAATTGTGAGAGTTGAAGTCCAAAACACACGAAGGGCTCAAGTTTGCCTATGCCCGCTCTGGAGTCACGAGGAACTTTGAAAGCGACGGAAAATTGTAACTTTTTGAATGCCCCGGGTTACAACCTTCACATATCAACCACCCGCGGAAAGAATAGAGCCCCAATCGGTACAAATCCACGCGCCTTGACTCGGGTGGCCATGACTAAAAGCCGCGAAATTAGATCCCGGTGTCTAGTTCCTAACAGAGAATGAATCCACTTTAAACCCGGTTTCTACCTCCTGCAGAATTCTGGGGTTTGTAGTTTAGGGAGGAGAATTTAACAGCCTCACTAAACTACAAACCCCAGAATTCTGAAGAAGGAAGAAACCGGGGTTAAAGCGGATTTATTCTCTAGTGTGGTGAAGCAGCCCGGATCTTTGGTGTGCCACTTTGCCACAAATCTCGCCTTATCCTTCTTGTCCAAAAAAATGGCAGCAATACCTAGTTTGGCTGTTTTTTAGGAACTGTTTAAATTATTTTAAGAGCAAGCAAGGGTCTAAAGAACAAAACCCAAAGGAAAACAGTATAGATTCTTTAGAAAGTTAACAGTCGCAAGAAAAGCTGGAGCTCTTTAAAACTTTCTGATGTCCAGGTTTGTTTTATTTCATAAGGAAAGGCTGGAAAAGCGCTTGGATTTCTTTTCCCCTCCAAAGATAGTCAAGTTTCCGCCGGGAGGGGGAAACCAAATCAGGTAAAACAACAACATCGCGGCTTCCTGAGAAACTTTCAAATTGATTTCGCTGAGATGGGAGACGGAAGGCGTTTGCTTTCGGGAAAGAAGGCGCAAAGAGTTGGGATCCGCCACACATTCTCTCCCGTCTCTTATCTCTTTGTAAATCTGGAGAGATCTGGGCAGGATAAGCAGCAGCAGTAGATCGGATCCGAGCCCCCGCCTCCCTCTTATTCTCCTGAATGGGAGAGAAGGGGAAGGCACGCGGGAGGCGCCAGGTTTTGGTGGCAGCCCTGGGCTCTCTCTCTCTCTCTCTCTTTCCCCTCCAGAGACCCCAACTCTCCGCCAATGGGCGCTGGGCAAGTTCGCGAGGTGAAAGTTCAGCCCGAGGGCGCGCGCACCCGGGGCTATTATCATGGACTGCCTCAGGCGCCCAGGGCTTGGAGATTGGGGGGGGGGGGGGGGGGGGGGAGGAAGCGTAAAACATCTCCATTGGCGTCTCCAAACCCTCTTTCTCAGTTTGTATTTTAGTCTTACCTTCTCCTGCTCGGTTGGCACGAGTAGTGCTCACAAACCCCCGACGGTTGATAACGCCCCGATTCTTGAAAGTCATTCCAACTACTTATATGTGTGGGGTTTTTAAATAAAAGTTTTCCTTAAGGTTTGGTTTAATCTAAGGTTTGGTTCTTATTCTTTCCTTAAGTTTGTCCGCTAGACTCCCTGTGTGTGTGTGTGTATACGGTATATA